AATGCTACATTTGAATAGTTTCCTTACCATGAGTATCTGATCTCCCTGTTGAAGACGGCCATCCTCCTTAGCTGGACCACCAACAATGTCACGAACAAAGCAACCACCTACAGTGTTTGCCCCTCCTGACAGAGTGAAGCCAAGACCACCTGAACCTTTCACCAACTCTATGTGTAATATCTGGGGTTGAATTATTAAAAAACAAAATCCACAATTCAATTTGGCATACAATATCCAAAACAAAAAGAAAAAAATACAACTAATATCACATAAGTGTTATGCCAAAAAACACTTATGTCACTTATGTTAAATCAATGATAGCTTTCAACTGACTGGCCATACACTAGTACTTTTCTACCTGCACTTCAATTGGTTATTCAAGGACAAACTTAAATAGAACAAAAAAGTCCCTCATTTACATAGTTACTTGTAAGGGTTTAATTTACTTGCCACAAAAAACTGTAGGAGCTAGAGGTGTTTGTTCTGTGGTTCTTATTTCAGTCAAAGCATCGCAAATCTCTATAAATTTGCCACCTACATGAAAGCTTTATTCTTGCAGCTTTTTCACTCAACTTGCAAATTTTATCACTGGGAAACTGAATCAAGACCAGAATTAGCTACACAGGTGATCACAGCCGAGGGAAAAACCAGCTGGGTTACCTCTTCCTGAGGAGTCATGCTGGCTGGTTCTTTGTCATCCTCAACCCCTGATGTGGAAGCAGACACTTCCTCCCTTTTGTCAATCATCAGTGCTTCCTCCACATCGCTTTCCTCAGACTCTGACTCTGATGAGGAAGGAGAAGGAAAGGCTTCACTCTGCAAAGGTGGCTCACTGCTTACAACAGACATTTGTGTTGATTCTGTGACTTCTGGTTCAACTGGTTCCTCCTCTGTGGATTCAATGGAGGACAACTTTCCCATAAGCTCCTTCACGCTTTCCTCATCATAAATAGAACGATCACGAGGAATGATGTCAACAGAGGAAGACCTCCTTGAGTCTTCAACATCACTAGATTCATCTTCAGCTAATGGAGCATCACCAACAGATGATACATCAGCATCTTCATCTTCACTTTGTTGAATAGCGGCTTGTCGGTTGATTTTTGGACTTTCAGAGGGTCTGACTGATACAACATTAGGAAGAGAATTTGTTGGAGTCAGAGAGTAGTGTTCTTTCTTAACCTGCATGACTGGTTCAGAGAGTCTGTTGGTGAGGTTAGGGTGACTGGACTCTGATAAATGAGGATATTTTACTGGTTCATTGGTCATCAAACTAGACCTCAAACTAACAGGAGCTTCAGTGGCAGATGCTTCTTGCACCCTAACAACTTCTTCTCTAAGCAAAGGCTTTTCCCTAGTTGATGAATCAGAAGACCTCTTGCTCAATGATGGTGAGTGATCAGTTTTAAGCTTGTTCTGGATGTCTGCCAGAATTTGTGCGGGGTCCACATCGCTGGCATTAGAGCCTGATCTTTGTAACAGGGAGGGAGGAATAGAGGATGGGTCTCGTTTGACAAGAAGCCTTACTTCTTGAGGACCCATGCGAATTTGATTGATGGCTTCTTGGTGAGTTACACCTTGCATGTCCTTTCCATTAACTTCTAGAACAATATCACCAATCTGAAGTTTACCGCAAGCTGCTGCTGGTTGCCCTGGAAACATCTTCTTGATTCTTAGGAAACCTAAACATGCAACAGACATGCTACAATGAGTACCTCTGCAGCAAAATGAAAAACTGAACTTGTCTGTAAAGCAGTGACAAAAAGCACTCTATCATGACCTTGAAGTTTAAAGCAGGATTAATGCAGGTAATGCAGGAAATTGAATTTAAACTCTGACTAATCCAAGGCTAAAAAGAAATAATAAAAATGAAAAAATGTAAAAACTGAAATCAGAATCTAAAGCATTTGAATGGCCCAATTTTTTTCTGACATTTTGTTTTTGTTACTCTCTTGACAAGTTCTCTATTCAGCCAAATAAAAATTAAAGTTTAAAACACTTAAAATATGCAATAAAAGTTTCACTTGATGTGTTTTCAACTCCAGCAACCACCAACTATCTTTTTTTCCTTATTTTCAAGGTCCAGTTACCACCAACTAACAAGTACAACAAAACACAGTAGCAGAATTTTTGGAACTTTTCCAGCTCACCTCCATGCTCCTCCCCAGCTCCCTTGCCACCAACCAAACTAAGGCCAAGGCCTCCTACACCCTTTGAAAGCTCTACCACAAATGGCTTGTCAGGGGGATGGGACCTAGTTTTCTTCCCAGATGACTTAGGAACATTAACAGCAACTGATCGATCCAGGATAAGTCTTGTCCTATAAGGAGCCATTTTTATAGTCTCTACTGCCTGTTTGTGTGTGACGCCCACAAGACTGATACCATTCACCTGCAGGATACGGTCACCAATTTGTATCCTGCCGTCCATATCAGCTGGACCATTGGGAAGAAGGGACTTTATGTAGATTCCACCAAGCTTGACACTGGTGTTTATTCCACCCTGATAGGAGTGGAGAAAATTACCATAACATGAGTCACTTTGCACGAGTAAGGTTAGAATGAAAATGAATTGAGACAAATTCTGCTCAAAGTTTGAGCAATAAGTGCAAACATTATTTACTAAAAATCTACTTATAGCATGGTAACCTTTTGAATACTATTTTAAAAAAAATCTCACTGTAATTCATTTCTCTAGGTGACCCCGCAATTAAATCCCCAAGCATTCTCAAGAAATTTAATTTCAAACCTCATAAGAATGCTTGAAGCGTGTGTTATTGTGTTTTCAACTAACGCAAAACATCTGTTTTAATAGAAATATGGATAACTTCAAGTTCAATTTTCTCTCATGGGGTCAGCTTGAGAACTAAGGTCTTGATAAGATCTTCCTACCTTTATTCAAAATATTACCATGCCATGAGGTTTTTTTGGTAACTTAATTTTTGCCATTATTGCTCGAATGTTCTGCGGAAATCATCTTAAACATTTTGTATAACAACATCCCACAAAATGCTCAGCACAGAAAATGGTTTGTTAATATTTTAACACATAATCATTATTTATAGTAATGTGAGATTGAATTGGAAGCACTGTTCTGGACAGCCAGAGGACAACAGAAAAATAGCAATATGAAGAAAAAATTTTAAGACTAAAGGGACACTTAACAGGCCTTATACATGTGTGCAGCTGCATTTCTTTTGGAAAATCCAAGATTGGACTCTTCAGTCCAAAATTGCATTTTGCATTTCTTTACAAAACAGATTAATTCAAGATTAAGATCAAGATTATTAAGATCACTTACAACATGGTGCATCTAAGAAACCAAAGAGTCCACTCGGGCAAGGATTCTTTGATGCATCATGATCTGAATGATCTTACATTAATCTGTTTATTGAAGAAATGCAAAATTCATTTTTGGGTTTAAGAATCCAGCACGGGATTTTCCTAAAGAAACATGCCCTATCATCAAAAACAGCCACACCACTGATACTTACACTGACACTCAAACCCAGGCCTCCATCTCTCTTCTCCAAGTCAACTACAAAGGCTTTTTCCTGAACAGAAGAACAAGGTACAAGTATTTAGTAAATGACAAAAAAATATATATATTTCTGAGATATATAATTATTATATGGCCAGCTCTGTGAGCAGGCAAGATGAATCCTGCGCTGTGATTGGCTACCCGAGCAGGCAAGATGGAGCTATCTTGCCTGCTCGGGACTAACTGCCCTGTCCTGCAAGAAAAATTTCCCGAAAAGCCATATAATAAATCCTTTATTGACCACGCTTGTTCGATCAAGATGGCTGGATATTGGCCTTATTCTTTTTTTACGTGTTTATGGACCTTGACTCCGTATCCGTCCATAAACACGCAAAAAAAGAACTTGGCCAATATCCAGCCATTTTGACCTCACACTTGGTCAATAACCCATACATATTACATCGCAAAATCATTTAACACTCACAGGCAAGGCATCTTCACTGTAGACTCCACTCTCATCTCCACTCAATGATTCCTGCCTTGCACCAGGGGACTCCCCCTGGGGGCTTGCAACACTTGCAGAGACCAATGGGACAGCTGCTGACAATAGTGAACTTTGAATGACATTTGCCTCAAAAGGTGTACTGTGACCTCTTGTTTGAGTTTTAGGCTCTCTGATATCAGCTGATTCTAAACTGGAATTGTCTTGCATAGCCTTTTGTGAATCAACAAAATCTGTACATAACAGGAAAGAGTAAACATTAAGACGTGAAATGGTACCTTTAATGAATGAAAATTTTCATCTACAGTTACTTGTTTTTTGTTGAACACTGACAAATGTCAAGGCTTGAAAAGCTAACACAGAAAAACTGCAAGCCAAATAATTGGACAAAATTAATGAGAAACCAAGAGGAATAGGAGATATTGCATGCCCATAACTGCATGAAGCATGTATTTATGGATGTAATATGATTGTTGGAGTCTTAAAATACATTTAACTGAAACAAATCAATTGAAGACGAGATAAAAAGATGGCACTGGACTAGTATTTCACATAATACGGCTTGAAGAGAGATCCTATGACTGCAGTGTGGCATTAGGGTGGAGACCAGAGCCTGGTAGAAGAGCAATAGGAAGACCTAAAAAGACGTGGAGGAGGACAGTAGAGGTAGAGAGATGGTAGGCAGGATGTTGCAGGCTTATGTGCCTACTAGCACATAGAGCAATGATAATGATGAAACAAATTAAATTTACCCACCTTGCCTTTGCTGTCTGCGGTCTGTCTGCTTTGCTGAAGCTGATGAAGAAGTTGACACTACAGATGGAGGAATTGATTTAGAAATCATTGTCACTGGTTCATCCTCTGAAGGAAATGCTAATGTTGAAGGGTGGGGCTCTGGAGAAGGGTCTTTTGGTGTTTGGCTTTGTCGGTTCTCTTGTGCAGCTGTTGTTGTGTCACGTGGTGTCAGAGGTTTGACTTCAAGGCTTGGGGGCTCCTCATTGATTGAGCTTGCATTTGGAATATTGGAAAGATCTGTGAACAAGAAGGCCAGTAGTTTTAATGATATCTATGTTTCAATGATTTGGTAAACTCTGCAGGAGGATAACCTGTGATAGATGGACTACCTCACTGCATCACATATTTAGGAGGTGGGGGGATAAGAATCCTCCTTGTTGTTTTCTGTGATGGAAACTGGAAATAAGGACAAATACTCATAACATCCCTGTGAAAATGCAAGTGCACAGGCTTGACTCTAATTAACCGTCACATCTCAAACTGGTGAGACATTCTTCTCACAACTTTACAGTAAACAAAATGCCAACACTCTAACATGATATTGCTAATAATATTATTGTTACAAAAATTAGGGTAAGTAATGTTGTGGAAGTGGTATTGTGTCGTAAACATTGTAAGTAGTACATTGTTTTGTATTATTGTAAGAAAATTAGCAAAAGTATTGCAGTCTAATAGAAATTCTTATAATCACTATAAGTAGCACTTTGTTTTGAATTAATAGCGTACATCTAAGCATTGTAGTGTAAGTGGTATTGTCATGTAAAAATTGTAAGCAATGCATTGTTGTTTTGTGGCTGCAGTAAAAAAAATTCTCACAATATTAACAACTCACCAAATGAAGAGACAAGATATGAACTCTGTGATACTTTAAGTTCCACAGGGCTTGTGACGTTCTTAAGGATAGACACAGCATACTCATGTGTAACTCTCTCTAGACTTTGGCCATTTACAGCTAAAATTCTGTCACCTAATTACAGAAGGAATGGATTGCAAATGGTCATAACATTTTAAAACATCATATGCTCTTTCCTTGTAGAGCCTGTCTTGATTCAATGACTCAAATACTAAAAAGCCCCAATGTCTACAGAAAAGGTTTTAGAAGAATTAGGCTGAGCAGGATTAGCAACATGCAGGTTCAAATCCTGAAACAGACCAAAACATTCTATATAACAACAGAAATCAATTTTACATGTTGTGATCTTACCAGCCTTCAGTCTGCCATCTTTCCAGGCAGCACCTCCTTCAGTAACTGACTTGACATAAATTCCGAGGTCCAGTCGCTTAGAATTTTCACCACCAAGAACAGTTATTCCTAGAACATTAAACAACAGCACTAGCCTCTATGTCTTGAAGAAGCTATATCTATGCCCAAAGTTGATAACATTATCAAATTAAAATAACACAATTTAATATTTACTGATAATTTCATCACCCCTTCCCTAGAATTTCTGTCATGTAATCTATTATTTGAATGTCAACATATTTCCTCTCTTATTTTTCCCCTGCAGATTTTCATACAAAACAAAATTTAAAATTAAAATGTATTCTAAGCAAGAGCTATTAGAAAAAGGCTCTGATGAGGAGAAATGTTTAACTTTATTCATAACCTACTGTACCATGCAGATATAAATTATTCACTTCTTATGTCTGACAAACCTACAAATCAATCACACAATTTGTGTGAGATTTACCAGCATATAACAATAATAATACCAGTTGACTGAGT